CCCAGACCAAGCTGATCCCACCTGACACAACTGTCCTCCAAATTCACACTGTCACAGACGGCCTGAGAAGTGTGGAGGCTGTCATGACTCAGCTTAGACTGGACCTACTGTGGAAGATTAGTGGGACTGTGAAATGAGCTCTGTACAATTGCAGAGCACAGAACCCTAATTAGATATTAATGAGAACTTTATGTGCTTTCTTTGCTAACAGTAGATAGTCACAGCAATAAACCATCCTCAAGTTAATCATAATTAATATCTGAAGGTGTTAAGGAAACCAAGCATTTTTTTCATATGCGGCCAGTGATCTCTACTGTAGCTCACACAGAAACCACTGCCAGCCAAAGACTTACTCAATCAGTGAATCAACACAAACCACATATTGTTTTCTGATTCAGTGATTTGTGTTCTGTTAAGGTAATTTGGTGTGAGTGTTTTGATCAAAATTACCGTTCCAGCATCTGCATTAACAGAATATGTGCCTGTAACTAATTAAATCAACATGCTTTTGAATTTCCAGTGAGTTATTTTGTCCATTTGAGACAGAATGTGGGTAACAGATAAAAATTAGGATAGCAACAAGCCAAAACAATTAAGAAAAAAATGTTGCAGTATGAGAGACGAGACCAGAACTGACCACATTTTAGCTTGATTAACCGTAACCTCTGACCAGTCAATCATAAGCTCATTTTTTGGTTAGTCATTCCATCACACTAAGTAAGTGCTATCAAGTTTCAATGACAACAGTCTTCAAAGTAAAAGCTTCAACGACACAGCTGATTTCAGTGTATTGCAGCTAGGCGAAGGCTGTAAGTAAAGATGTTTCATTGTTTTATCCTTTTGAAATTCCAACCTTTGAACATGCAAGATTTGGAAACATTGATAACTTTTGGGAGCATCCAGCTAAGCTAGGGATCTAAATTATGTAGAATTTACAATTGGAGACTGCTGTTTTAGGAATGTTAGCCATGCTAATGACTACAACAATGCTAATGGTGCAAATGCTAATATAAGATGCCAATGCTAGTTTAAAATGGATAGTTCATAATAGCTTTGTCTTAAAACTGTTTCCCAGCAACTCTCTTCTCACACAGTAGACTGACTTTAAAGCTGCCACTACCAGAAAAATGTTTAAAAATATTTCTCAAACTGTTCTTATATTACAGTAGCACTTAGCTGATCGGAATAGAATTGGCCATTCAAAATTTATCAAAAACTGATAGGAAATCTGACAAAATTTAAAGGGAAAAAATTAATTTAAACATTAATTATATTAATGTTAACTTTTGAGTTCAGGCTGCCTTATAACTGAGCTCCTGCTGAAGATACATTGTGTGACAAGCCCCCTGTGTGGAACTGAGCTCTATGAATAACTCCTCTCGGCAGTACTGAACGGTACTTTGCTTTCCAACAGTATTACTCAGTTTTACACACCCCCAACATGGCAAGAAAGGCGGCAAACCCAGGGGGTAGCCAAGCACCCCTCACTGGGCTGCCAGTCACACACAAACTGCTACATGGCTGCTGGAGCAACAGAGAGGAAAGCTGTTAATTTAGATGCAGAAGATCAGACAAAAAAACATGTTAGGATTCTATCAGTGTGACTCCGTCACATGCGTTATAAAATAAAAATTGACTGTTGCAAATCACCATGCTGGAGGCAATTAACCAAGCATTGATATTTTGTAACACTGTTTTGTTGTAACAAAGTCACAAATGATCTCATTTTGCAGGTCTCCAGAAATATAATGATCAATGGCTGAAAAACTGAAAGTGGGCTACCAACACCTTTCTTCCAGTCACCTTACTTCTGGTTTCCCACTATTATTATCAATTAAACATGGTTCCAAGCATTAATGCATTCCAAGGTTTTAAAACTCTACAGTTTCAAGACTGCACAAATATTCTGTCATAATGTTGCTACGGTTTAAATCTGCTTAAAGCTATGCCAGAGAAAGTCTTAGAGTGACCAGACGTTTCTCCTACCTGTTGCTGAACTCTGTGGGTCAGCTAGGTGAAAGAACATTGCTACATTTTTTTCCCTCACTTACAGGAAAAGCAGTTGAGTTGTTTGGGGACAAAAACAGCCATGACATATTCAAATCAACACAATAAATAAATGTTAATTATTGTCAATAAGTTATTTTATTTAAGCAGAAGTGGAAATAACTTTTTTTTTTTTCCTGTCTCCAATAATGGCGATTCAATCATTTTTTGGTAGATTTTCTTTTTACATTTTGGAGCAAGTAACATTTTATTCTGAGGATCTTGTGCTGGTTGAGCTTTCAAAAGACAATTAATAAAAAATACAATAAAAATTTGAATGCAATGTAAGACAGTTATCAAACAAATTCTATAGGCAGGTAGTGTTTTTTCACTTTGTGGCTTAAATAATGATGCACCTTCTCAAGTAAAAGCAATGAATCCTGCTTACCACTTTGTGTTTAGCCCCCAAATAGTAAAAAAAAAAAAAAAGGACTGCAAGAACATTTTAGAGCAAAAATGCACATCCAGAATAAACAGTGGGTAACTGACTGCAGGTAAAGATCTACTTGAACACTATCAATCACCCCTTGCACCACATCTGTTCATTGACGGCTTTGTTTACTGAGAGTATTCCACTGCACTGGAAGGATTTTTCCACTTGTGGGACAACATCTGACAACTCAAATTGAATTTTAAAGCAGATTTACGAAAATCCTTGAGGTCAGAGAGATGAATATGAAGCAAAATGTTTGCAAAAAAGAAAGAAATACCTGCATGAAAACAGTGAAAATCCAAGTGAATCAGTATTGTTTATATCAATATGTGTCAGATTCAGCATCAGCACTAAAAAAATAATATTTTCTCCAATAACTGTGACTGACACATATGTCAAATTTCAGCACATGAGGTTGCTCAGATGGAGCAAGCCCAAACAATAAAGAAAAAAAAAACTACAACTGCTTCAAATTTCAACAACCCAGACACACAATAGAGGGCAGCCGTAGTAAATCTTTCAGTATTATGGGCTCACTATGATTTCCTGCTGGGAGAGCAGACTGTCATTAATTTATTGTCAGACATCAATGAAACTATGTGTCTCCAAACAATAAATAAATGAACGAAAGATTTTCGCCCCTCGATAGTCCTCAGTAGGCGTGCTTTCTTTCACACCACATCAGAAATTTTGAATCTACTCTTGTGTAATGTTTTGGGACAGTTTCTAGGACACATGATCGGCTCCAGTGTCTCCTTACGACATAGCCGCTTAAACTCAGCTGCACTGGAGTTCCACAGTCCAATGTGAAAACCTGTGATTCAGCCTGAAAATTTACAACATTTTCGCAGGACAAAAAAAAAAAAAAAACAGAGGAGAGCTGCCTCAGCAGTACAGTCAGGGCTCAAGTATTTTATGATTACCATGTTTAAAAGATCAATACGCCATACTGGAAGAAGAAAAAAAAAAGTTCCTGTTGAGTCAGGAGACTCACATAAGTCACATTCTGCAGTAAGAAGTCAGATGACTGTTTAAGGTGATGGTAGTAAAAGACAAGTTTACGAAATTATAATGCACTGGTTGTAAGACATGGTACAATTAACAATGTCATTGGCATTTAAATGTTCTTGCATGCTTTTTCAGTTTAGACCATTGAAAAAGCAATGGTCTACGCTTAATCGTGAGGTGAAATTATGAGGTGAAGATGTACTAATCGGTCAGTTGGGGATCGGCTCAAGCCAATTTTTCTCTTGACTAGCTCTAATTTTTACATGACAGCATGTACTTTTTGAGTTTAAGAAATATTAAAAATTTTAGGGACATGCAGTATGCTTGGAGCATATTGTTTTCTCTTTTTTATGTTACAGTCTGTATAAGAGAAAAAAAAAAACAGAAGTGTCTGAAGTGAAAATCGACAGGTCAGACAAGATCAACTAGGAAAATCCTGATGAATGAATCATTTGTGACAATGTAGACCAAAAGATAACATGCCAGTAACAACGACAACACAATGGAAAAATAAAAGCAAACAACTCTAAAACAAAGGCTACAAAATAAATGCCTTGTCTATCAAGCGCCACAGAGAAGCCAAATCTCCCCAGAGGGGATATTACAGTTATACCACATGAGATAAAAACAGCATAAAAAAACAATGAAGTCCATAAAAGCCCACTGTGAAATACCACAGACACATAAAATTCCCCAGTGGATAACGTTGTACAGAAACTGGCACAGGCAGTAGTTCTATCGAGCATAGGCAGCTTGAAGACGGACCAATCAATAGGCAAGAAATTGGCCAATCTTCACTTGACTGGCACTGATCGGTGCCGATCATTGTTTCCAAAACAGTAAAAACAAAGAACTTCATACCATTTTCAGTCCCTACATGCATCAACTAACGACATGTTTTGTTGCATAAATATCATTTTTGTGGAGACTATTTTGGCAGCACATTTTTCTTTCTCCCGTTTTATTGATCATAGTCATTGAATTTAAAAAAAAAAAAATCAAAACCGAAACTAGCAGGTCAAAGTTTTGTCAGCTTTATTGACTAAAAATGTTTGACCTAGCCAGACTTTTTTTGTGGACAATTAAAACCACATGCAGAATGACTAAAACTACAGCAGAAATGAGTGACATTTATGCTCTTAAATAAAAACTAAATTCTAAAAATATTGGAAGGATCCATATTTAATTTCAATTTGAGGAATGGTGGGATATATTGTTTGTGTGGCAAGATATAAGTTTACTTCTATTGCATTCTCAAATAAATATTGATGTAAAAAAATATATGTTCTGATAAAAGTGAACTAAAAAGTATTTGACTATAGCTTTACACTATTGTCAACTGACTAAATTGTGACTAAAATTAAATTACACTTTAGTTAAAAGACTGACAAACCCCAATTTAACTACTTCTTCAAAGAAAATCGGTAATAGGTATCAGTCAGGAAAAAATCTATGATCGGTGCATCGTCCACAGTAAACTCCAAGAAGCAAGTATGAAAACAGTCAGACATACCTTCCAGCCTGCAGAGCTGTTGCTGTCTCCCTTGTCCTTGAAGTAAGGCACACTTTTCACCATCCAGTCATAAATCTGAGACAGCGTTAGTCTGTTCTCTGGAGAACTTTCAATAGCTTTGGTTATGAGGTCTGCATATGACATATTCCCCCATGCGTTCCGCCGAGAGGAGCTGCTCTTCCTCTGTGCAGCGGCTGCAGCCGCTGCTGCGGCTGCCGAAGGTGAGGAGCCCACCGGGGTGGAGAGCAGAGGCACCTGCTGCTGCTGCTGCTGCTGATGTGGGAGTTGCGGGTTTGGGTGCTGCTGCTGCTGCTGATGCTGGTGATGATGTTGCTGTTGGGCTTGCTGGTGGACGCAGTTTTCCTGACACTGAAACTCGTTGCACAGGATGACCGGCTTCTGCTCCGTGAAGTCTTCATTCTCCTCCAGCAGGCTCAGATTGTTGATGAACTCCGCATTGCCAACGCCGGGCTCCTGCTTCACGGACGGCACCGGCGACGAGGTGTTCGAGTCTCCCGGGTTGATGAACTCCGGCCGGGGCAGTGGCCAAGTGCACGACCGGGGCCGCGAAAGGGGCTCGAAATCCGGGTCGATTTCCACCAGGTGTGGCTGCTGGGCCGCTTCCGCCATGGTGTCGAGAGGTGACCGAGTGTTCTTACAATGTCATATAAGTGTGACACCTTTTAAATAAGTCAAAACTTACGTCTCTGAAATGTTAAGAAACTCAAGAAAAGTCTCAGTGCTCCGCCTGGGCGCAAAATCCTCACTGGAAGTTACATCCCAAGCCGGTGGAAATGTGAAGCAGTTTAAAAAAAAGTCTGCGACTGAGTGGTCTTTCAAGGGGGCTAAAGTTGAGTTGGTGGGACGGGTCTGCTGGAGCGCTGGTTTGTTTATGTTGTCCAGTCGTGGTGATGTTCCGTCTGATGTCCCGCACAGCCTGTTGACTCTGTGTTGTAGAGCATGTGAGGAGGACTTACTGGAAGTCTCATTTGTCAACTGATACCACCCACATTTGACTGACAGCCCTGAGCCACCAATGAATGTTATTTTAAAAGCTGCTCTGGTTTTATTCAGAGAGGGACCACAAATACAGTTAGTTCTCAGATACTCTTCCAAAGTACTTTTTAATGTCAGTTTAATCGACTTTTTCTAAAGTAATCTGGCTTCTACAACAGTTCTTGTTGTTAATTTCTCCCCCGCCCACTAGAATTATATTATATTATATTATATTATATTATATTATATTATATTATATTATATTATTTAAAAGTTTGACTATTTCAGTAACACACAAAGACATTTCATTACACCTTTTTTTCTGTTAAATACTATAAGAATAGAGTTTTCAAAAGGTACTTTCAGGCTGACAAATGAGCTTCATTGGAAAACATATTCTAATTTATTGAACATGATTGAAAAAAAAAATAAAATAAATTAAAATATATATATATAAAAAAATATATATATATATATAAAAATATATATATATTTTATATATATATATATATATATATATATATATAAAATATATATAT